TCTAAACACATCTGAGAACACAGTATGGACAGGTTTGAGAAAAGCTATACAGAAAAAATAAACATAAATAAATGTCACCTGTCACTGTCACCCCCATGTTTCACACTCTTGCCCAGGACCCCCAGTCACCAAACTTGGATGACATGATGGTTTGAGCCAAAATCACCCACCAACCCTGGGCTTGATAAGAACCATGATTGGATACGATCGCAACAAGTTGAATAGTTCACTTGCTTCCATTCTTTCATCTCACCCGGCAAGAACCTGCCAATCCTCGAGCCGCCGTACCTATAATCCCTTGCTCGGAGAGTGGCGTGTTGAACCTGAGCCCATCTTGAGTGAAGGAGACGAATTACGAACCTGCAGGATTCAAGGTAGACCCTTACAAATGTCACTGAGACACCCAGGGCGCTCTAGCAGTCGATCCAAAAACGAGCAACACGAAGACTCTTTATAGATCTTTATAGAGATTTGACACTGCTTTGTACAAAACGTTGAAATGTTCAAAACGATTCAAAACGTTGAAATCATGCGGATCGGCACATTGAAACTCCGCCCAGTCGTCACTCATGAGCCTCGGGTCAGAAGCCTTTCGGGGGGTCAGGGTCTGATACCTGCCATCATTCTCTCAAAGCCTTCTGCAATCCACATCATTGACTCTGGTACACCCCGCAAGTCGTCATACACGGGAGGTGACCTGGTCATGTAAACTCTACTGTACCAAGTAGAAAGTGATAGAAGGTGTGGAGGTGCCAATTTTTCATTGGATCTATCTGGATCTTCTAGGGAAAGGTCCTGGCATTTCCTGCACCCTGGGCACTCGGACACCCGGTCCTTCCCAAACCTGGCACGGCTCGCTCTGGGCTCGCTCTGGGCTGGTAAGGCAAGAGGTTCTTCATGGTTTTTCCTTGGCAAATCCCTTTTCGGATTCCCCAAGTCGATCTATGGGAACTCATATATTTGGGGAATTGGAATATAGGATTAAAGCCCGGGCCCCTGAAATCCAGGCGGGGCTTCAAGCGCTTCAACAGTCACCGCACCTTTTCTCAAGTGCTAAAATCAATGAGTATGGGAAAAAGCCACCCACATCGACTTCTCCGTAGTGTTCCGAAGGACAACAGCCACCCACATCTTCCTGAATGGACACGACCATGGAAGTGGGGCATGGCCTCGTGAAAGACCCGTGTTCAGAGCGAGCGTGAAACAGCTCTTCACGTGGGTGTGAACTCCATCGCCCCACGTACCGGCCCATCTGAGAGTCTGACTGCTCTCGCAAGTTCATGCTGCAGCCTGGAAGTCTTCAGATCTGATGAGACGAAACCGATGGACCCGGACTGCCGAAGCCGTCGGTCTCGGTGCATCCGCGAACGGAGCCGCCGGCGTTTCACGCAGCGCGGATCCCTGCGCCATGATGTCGCGCCAACGATGGTGACCTTGTTTTGAGTGTTTTCAATAGGGGGTTCTCGGAATGTGGGCGTCTGGAGTCTGGAGGTTATAACTATAATATTCATATATATATACACCGAATCTTTCTGTTCAGCATAGTTAGCCACGATGCTCCAAACACTTTGATATATATTTGATTAGAAAAAATACAGTCCTTTGGTCGTTCTCACAAGGTGCGTTGTGAGACGTTGAAGTATGGGAGACCTTGGGACAAACTTTGACAGATTGAGTCACATCTCATTGGAGGTTGGCGATTCTCCCTTCACAAGCCACTTGCCATCCAGATCGAGTTTCTCTCGGTGCATTTCGAGATTCTAAGATGCTTCTGATTTGGGGTCGTACAACCAACTACCAGCAGTCAACCTCAGCCCACTTTCTTTCAGTTGGTCCCACTTTCAAAAGCCAACATGATACACCAAATCCACATTGAAAAACATGCTACGCAAATCTACACATCATTGATTGCCCGACCGTGTACTCTCCTAAGAACCTCGGCGAATAGCCGCTCAGTCCCCAATCACCGCATTCCGTTTCTTGTCCCGTCGTTCGTTGGTTTCCGCTCGGGTCTCCCGGCGGAAGACGCCGCCAAAGGCCACGTCCTCTCCGAAGAGCATTGCCTCCGCGTCTTCTCCGGGTCTCAAGAGAAAACATCCAGCGAAAGGTCTGGTTTCTGGCCTTGACAGGGTGCAAGAAGCTAAGGGTTTCGATGCTTCAAACATGTTCAAAACGTTCAAACAACATCAGGAAATGTGAAGATCTTGTGTGTGTGTGTGGCGTAAGTCTGTGTGCGCTTTCCTAGCAACCCTCCAAACCAAGTACCTGCAGTATATTATGGATGTAGAGTTCTCGGACATCGGATGTCGGCGCATGCATCTCGCGCGCCTTGTCGTTGGAGCTGAGGGCAATTTCCATGGCATTGTTGATCGCCTACGGAGCAAGTTTTACACATCGATTGCTGAACAAAACCCATCCTGTATCTCTCACCTTTCCTAACGTAGCAACCTGTGCAGGCGCAAAGTTTGACCAGCCAAGTGAAGTGACGTAACCCTGCATTGAGCACTCCAATTGAACCAACTGAAACATGAAAGGATTGTTCGTCAGGCTTCTTACAATTTAGAGGTGCATATGTTCGAAAGTCTTGACATGGGAGAGCTTTATGCCCACCAGGTTTCTCATTGGAGATAGGGCCACCTGACCACACACCAACCAATAATCAAAATTAACTCGAATCAGCTGGGTGGTTAGCCAACCCCAGAATTATCAGCGCAAAAATTGTTCGCAATGTGTGCAGCTGTGGTTCGCCCAATTACCACGGGGCTGCCCATCAAAGCTGACTTCGCACTTGCTCCCATGATCTCGATCAGATGACAAGCCAGGACACCGCCACACACCTGTGATGCCCCTTCTTGCAGAAACATGCCATAGTGAGGCTTTTGTTTGCCTTTATATAGCGGTCCACCTTCAGAAATGGTCCAGGATTTTATAAGCCACCCGGTCTGCGCGGCAACACGGGATAAAAGTTCAATCATGGTGACCTCAATGGGCTTGAAGGCTCCGATCTCGATGGGGATCTTCAAATCCCAGACAATTCATCTTGAAGTCGAATCTGTTAACTCGTTCTGCGTGGAACGCAAGGCCGAAGACATTGATCATAAGTGAAGCACGCAGCCCTTGAGAGCATCAGTCACCATCGAAGTGTGGCCTAACTGACAAGCGGGCAGTTTGGGCTTTGAAAGCTGACAGCTGCCGCCGCAATCTCTGAGCTGCTGCCAACAACCGTTAAGGTCAGGCCAACAGTTTCTCTCCAACCTCTAGAGGCTGCTGGGCTCGGTCACCTTCTCAAAACTCTTAAGTGCGAAACGCCAAGCTCTGGAGGCTGTTGCACCATCTGCGTCAGCTTCTCTGTGTTCTACCACTCGCGCATCGTCCACGGCCCTGATGTTCAAACCAGCCGCGCTTTTTGCCCTGTCGCCTGCCTGGGCAGTGAGCCTTCTTTCGCAATGCTTCGCGTCCATAATGAGAAGCACAAGGGTCCTTGCCAGTCGCTCATAGATGAATTACTGAATTCTTGGTGGATGGGTGATTGTTCCATGAACAAATGAGTCGGTGGGCGCGCACATTGATTCCCATGGCGAGAACCGACGCAGCCCGCAGAATGAACGATTAAAAACGGACGAAGGAACCAACCAACCAACCATGCACATTGATTCCCACGTTGGGTCGACACAGCGGCAAAGGCCTGCTCTACAAATGATGGCCCCAATCATGAGACTCATGTCTTTGTTAGTGTTCTCACCCACAACACTACTCGATTTGATCATGTGTTTGCAAGCAGCAACGCAAAACTGCAGGCGCAGCGACATCACCTTTCGAAAACTTTATTTTAGTTGTTTCTCTAATGAAGAATCACTATTCTAAAAAAAGGGCTGTGTAAAGGATGTTGTTCAAACTTTGATAGGAGCTTAATAAAGGATTTAAAGTGTGAAACAGCATAAAACTGTCCGAGGCGACTCTTCCCAGGTGTCCATCTTTGCGGGTCCCCCCATTTTGGGGACCCCCTGCTTTAAAAAACGCGCCCGAGGTTTGTTTTAATTAGCGTTGGTGCTTTCATAATATGGAAGGTATTACTTAGTTTGATCGCAAGATAGGGGAACTCCAACCACCTGCTACACACGCACAGACAGAAACACACACTTATGGATATGCGTACTGACTGACAGCGGTGCCACACGCCAGCCTGAGTAAAACCACCTAAGGTTCCAGGTAGTAAGTATGAGGCCTCCAAAACCTATGAACACGAGGTCGAACGGCGGCGACAGGGTGACGGCGGGTCGAGGTCCAAGCACTCCAAGGTGAATCGCCGCTGCATTAGACGCTTACTGCACAACAAAGAATGAGACAGCTTTGCGCTTACGTAGGTTCATCTCAAAGCAGGTACGTCAATCCGGCGTCCCGGATTGATTTCACACATGCAACACTGGCGTCTTCGTTGGTGCCAGTCCAGTGTGCATCCCTGGCACCCCCTGCTTAAAACAAAACAAAACAATTCAAAGGAAACCCTGTGACTACAAGGGGCACACACACACACTGATCTAAGATGCAGGGGCTAGCCACCTGCAACACACGACCGTACAAGATGGAGGGGCAAGCAATCTGAAAGATGAAAACATCAAATATATACCGGGGCTAGCCACCTGCAACACACCACAACCATTTTCTTTCAAGATGAACGGGCCAGCCACCTGCAACATGTAAATATCAAATTTTCCAGGGCGAGCCACTGGCCAGCACAGAATCCCAAGATGCAGGAGCCAGCCCCCTGCAAGGTCAGATGGCTAGCCCCTGACTCTATGCTGAAGATGATGACAATGAGAAACCGGTTGGGCATAGAAACTCTACAGTGTCAAACCTTTGGATATATAATATGTACCTCTTTAAAAGAAAGAAACGCATCTCCGAGGGTCGAAGACTCCATTCTGCTTTGGCTTCACCACACAGATCCTGCGAATCGCAGGCTTCACCCTCCGGATCGCGCCTGAAACATGTTCATCTGCTTCTGCGTCGCAAACGCTCGGCCTCCGAGATTCGAACGGAAAGGGCGAGTTGCTTGGATGAGACAAATTGAATGCTTGGATGCAGCCTTCTGCACCCACTAAACATGAAAATCATCTTCCAACCAACGCCACTCACTGGGGCGGTCCTATGTGGCCTGCGCATAACACCAGATTTGCCTCGTTTTGGATCCGCTTTCTGCGGCTGCTGGATGCTTGTAGAACACAGCATCATTGACGCGATGACTCTCTTTTTCCGCGAAACCATCACTTCTTTTCAAGCGCCGAAAACCCACGCAAGTCGCCGGCCATTTGCCACTGCAGCTCTGATAAGACACCTCGGTCAACAGTGGGAATAGGTTGGCCGTTGACCTTTTCGTGGGTGATCAATCCAGACATCCAAAAGACCAAGGTCGAAAACCCCTGCAACTTGCAGAACTTCGGAATTTCCCAAAAATTCAAGGCTGCCCGAAAGTCAGCAATCAAAAAATAAAACAATCTCCAACGACTGCTTTTTCACTTCCACTTCGTCCTGTGACTGCGGCTTCAACATGCTTCAACCCCGGACTGCCCCAGACTCAAGTCCAACTCAGATCCCGGACTGCAAAGTGGCTGGGCCTTTTCGCTGAGCTCCCACCTCAGCTGTAGCCAGTTTAACAAAGAGGCAAGTCCAAGTGCAGAGCGCTGTGCGGTTTTGGGGTTAAAAAGAGTTGTTTCTGATTAGGTTGGAGTCGGAGGCCATCGCTTCTAGGTTGGAGGCCATCCCTTCTAGGTTGCAGGCCATCGCTTCTAGGTTGGAGGCCATCGCTTCTAGTGTGGAGGCCATGGCTACTAGGTTGGAGACCATCGCTTCAAGGTTGGAGGCCATCGCTATTGGTGGAGGCCATCATCATCGCTGCTAGGTTGGAGGCCATCGCTCTTACATCGCAGGCCATTGGGTTGGAGGGTTTAGAGTTTAGGGAGTCAAAATGAGTCAAGCCAGGGCGTGTTGAGTCAAATAGTTCCCCCAGGTTCCCCCACTAAACTGGTGCATGTCTGCGTATAGTTTGTGAACGATTCTTGGGAGCTTTGGTCACAGCGCTCCTATCACAAAAGCTCATCCCCAGAAATCTCACCGAGGGGGGGCGTGCTTCTCCAGCAGCTATCATGCAACTGAATCAGCTTTCGTTTGTTCTTTCTTTCCCAGCCAAACATTCACAGAGCCAGGAGACGCAGTAGCTGCAAGGGTGGTGATCGTGACATCATCTTCAGTGTCGAAAATGTGTTGTGCATGTTGCCAGTGAAGCGCCTGGCCGGATGAGTGCGTTGTTCGATCTATATACTCATCTCAGATGGAGTGGAGGACTGTTGAGGTCTGAAAATGGTAGCTGTCCTTGTAAAGGAAGTTGTTTCGGGATACTATAACAAGCCTGACTAAGTGGTTGCTGTCTGGTATCCTGCAAAACAATGCCCTTCATTATAGTATGTTGTAGTTGCATGTCTCAGCACTTCTCTGCTTCTGGCACTTACACCTTCTCTTGCAGCTGTTCTTTATCTCTGGTGGGCACTCATCAGCGGTTGCTCAATTACCTACTAGAATCAAAACCACCTTCACGCGATGCCAATGGTATATTGTTAGACTATAGGCTAACTCGGGGTGAGTACAGTGCAACGAAGGCTGCAAAAAGGACCATGCTGCAATGCTGCACATGTGCTTTTGTTGTTGGACCATAAGGCTGCCAGCTCCATCCATGAGATACAGTACGAGTTGGGATTGGGTGGACAATCCAAGCGAGATCATTGAACTTCAGTTCCTGCAGGTAGAAAATTGACCCACACAGGGTGGCCCCCTTTTGAGGACCAAAGTGTGTAATCCCCACCAGGTGTACAGGTGACGAAGGCACTGTCCGCGGTGTGTTGGAGCTCCACAAGTAGATAGGCAGAAATGGTTTCCATCCCACCTTTAAACCATTCAGTATAATTCAGACCGCACGAAGGCAGTTGGGCAGAAATGGCCTTTGCGAGAACCGTCTTGCCGATCGGCCTTGACACAACTGCTGCCAGCGGTGTGCAGGGAGATGGTGGTGCTGTCAAGGCGCCTGAGGCGAGAAGCAGGGATTGGGAATGATTGGGACCTTCAGTCACCCCTCTAGTTCTGCAGCAGTTTGTTCATCAACTTCTCTACCCCCCCCCCAGAAAAAGGAGGGTTGCATTGTTGACCCCCCTAACATAGCCTGAAGAGGGGGCGAGTCTTGGATTCCAAACACTTGAAAGAAGCAAACAAAGAATGAGACCCGTCGTTGCACCATTAAAACACACACACAGGCTGAACAAATTGAAAACAACCATTGGTGCCCCAAGGGCTGGTGGATCCAAACGGCATCGACACACCGAGCAGCTCGTTCACGGTGGGAGTGTGGCAGGCACACTAACTAGATCACGCAATATCCATACGTCATCAAGACATATAGATCAACAACAATCAACATGAACTTCGAGCGCCACCTAGATGTGGTTTTGATAAATTGGCTGGCATCCAAACCTCCCTCAAGCAAACCACCAAACACCACCAACCAGGCCCTCAGGTTGGACGGCCACCAACCTGCAACAAAGCGCCCATCAATCGGCCCCGCATCGGGGCCTGCGCCCAAAATCACCCAACAACTTCAGCGCGACGGCCCAGAAGCCGCCCTTCCTCGGCCGTCCGGTCGGGGCGTGGTGGTTCAGCAGGACGGACCCGGATTCTTATATTTGGCAACAAATACCTAAATCAAAGCACTAAGACTATGAGGAACAACCAAAGCCAGCGGCCGAAATCGGAATTTCTGGCGAAATCAGGTTATGCGCAGGTGAAACCTCATGTTGACCTCGAAACAACCGCCCTCCTAGCATGGCCATGCCCGGATAGAAACAATCCCGGTCCCCGTAGCTTCTGGACAGAACAACCACCACAAGGGATGAAGAAATGGCAGCAATAATAGGTACAAATTGTTCAAACAAGCCCATGTATGTAAGCGTTCCAATCAGCCTCGTGGTATGCATGTGATACCCTGTGATTCTGTGGTGAAAAGCGAATGCTTGTCCCGTTTAACCCCTGTCTGCTCAAAGCTGTTTCGATGCCTCATCTGTCAAAAAACCTCTGCAATCGTATCCCGGTATATAAGTGTTTGGGGGGTCCTTTACATCTAAAGCCAAGTCAAAACACCATCAGTTTTCATAAGTGGTCAGTTTTGGGGGGAACTCTGACGAATGAGTGTCGCATCAGAATGACCGGCTTACTTGACCTCCACCGAATACCACATCAGTGGGGTGTGTTGGGGTCGGTGGTTCTGAACGCAGAACACAGCATCCAAGCAATGACAAGCCACTCGCAGACGTTCATGGCACTGTTGAGGGTGATGGTGTTGGGAGAAGTGGTAAACCTGGGTGCGTTTGTTTTCAAAATCCACACTGGCACTGGAGACTTAAGGTTTACACAAAAGGAGTTCCAGATTGAAGTTCTTCTATAAAGCTGGCGGGCTGGTCTTTCCAAGTCTCAAGCTCTTTCTCGAGGCAACCCCCCTCAAAAGACTCGATTGGCATTGAGCGGACCAGAACATGTTTATCATGGTTTTCCCTTGACCCACAAGGGGTGCCATTCTCGGGACATCTTTACAGCGTCCATACGGATGTTTCACTGCTGTGCAAAAAGGCTTTGGCCTCAGGTGACGTCAATAGAACCCACCCCATCTATGAAGTAGCATCAAGTATGTTTGCAAGTACAAGTGACGTCATATTTACCGTCTCAACTACCTTCCGATGACACGTTTTTGCGACGCCCTCGTGGGGCGGTACCCAAAAAACAACTAAGCGCTTCACCCACAACTCGTCTTGAAGAAAGAAGTCATGCACCAACACCCTCGGCAAAAGTTATGTTTGAGATTGTTTGAGTCATTGGTGGATTCCCATAAGCTGCGACCAGCCTGTGATTGCTACAACCACAGTCAAAACATATCAAACCTGATGTGGATTCCAGGCCCTGGCCCTGACCTCCAGGTCAACCAAGGTATCCTGGTGCCATGATGTGCCATGACGCATCCCCACGATGTGTTTTGCAGGATCTCATCCATGATCATCGCCCCATCCCCCATCCCGTGCTCTTGGCTTCGGAGCTCTGACATTGACTCGATGAGGCTCACCTTGGTACCAGGTGGGTCGGCCTTGGGAGGGGAGTTCGGCGTTGGAAATGTGTGAAGCACTTCAGACATGTCCCACACATCTGCTTTTCCAGCTTCGAAGGAGACCAATCAGCTGTCCTGTCCCGGCGTTGCTGTCCGGGCCAAAGTTTCATCACCGCGTGAGACAGGGGAGGTTTAGAATGGCGACACGCAGGTCGGAAGGAGACTGTTGTTTAGCTGAATTTCGAAAGGTGTGCCTTCAGTCACCAATCATCTGACCAACGCCATGTACCCACTTATAAGGTATAAGATATACCTGCCTGCGTAGGTTTGACAGGCTATTCTTGGCCCGGCGGCCCAGCTACTGTCTTCCGTTCACATTGAAGATGGGATACTGGCTGAAAATAGGATCAGTGCCCCATTCATCAGCTCAACCATCCAACCCACCGACCATCTTTCAACCTCTCATCGACCGCCCAGTCACCGCGACCCAGAGACGACCAGATTCGGCGCAAGCGCTGATGGCACTGTTCATGCTGACCTGCTTAAGCAGCTCTGCACCAGTGTCTTACCCTGAACATGGCCTCAAGAATAGTAGGCCCCCTCCATTTGAAGTGAAACCGGAAAGGTGTCCGTTAACGGAACCCCTGGAAGACATATTTCTCTTGCTGGGTGTTGTCTTGGGTATGCAATCAACACCCTATACACCTGGGTTGATGGACCCCAAAAGTCGCAAACCCGGCGGAAGGAGAGGAAGCGCACAATCTGAAAAACCCTTCAGGCAGGGATCATCCACCTTGGGCAGCCCTGGGACCCACAGTCCAAACACCCTGTAAGGGCTGGTAAGCAGACTACACTTCCATATCCTGTATTGTTTACAACCGGTACAAGCCTTATATATGTGTTTTTTCTTGGGTTCACGACCCATCATCCCTGTACAGCCAAGAGAAACATCGATGTCCCTCGTGTCCATGAAAAACGTGCGGGAAGGGTGTCGCAGGCCCTTCCCAGGTCGCAGGCCGATGATCTACGATGCAGGTCGGCACTTGGTTTGAAGTGGAAAGCCCTGGGCGTTGAAAGAATGATTGTCTGCCATTGTTCAACTTTTGTGGGAGATTCTCGACGTTTGGGGTCAGTTTTTGGGAGGGTAGCCTTTTCAGTGCGAACCGTTTTGGAGCACATGGAATTGATACAGTATTTATATAAGCAAATTTATTGTGTATATAATATATATATACAATATAAATAGTATAAATACTGTATTCTGATTCTTGATGAAGTTTAGAATTCCTGAGGACAGTCACCTTGTGCCTTTCTGTCTACTCACGACCGCCGGTTTTTGGTAACGCCTCCAACTTCACACCAAATGTGCATTTTCGTGGACGGATGAAGGCATGAGATGCTTGCAACCAATTCAACGAGAAGGGACAGCACGCGTTGCTTTTGTCAAGATATCAAACCAGAGTGGAAGCAAACCACTTTTAGTACCCAGGTCCCCTCCTCCCAAACAAACAAAAGCTGGGAGGCTGTGTCTGGCCAAAGGTGTTCGGAAGCCATGGTGGACAGCAACGCCAAAGCCATAGGCCACTCACTGCCTGGAAAACTCACTAGCCTTTTTCAATTTCAAGGCTTACTTTGCTCTAGCACACCCCATAAGCCAACACTGTGTCCAGTTTCCAGCTTCTATGGCATGTCTGGGGTCACGTCTCAGGACGTTTTATCGGTTTTACCTGCATCGTCTCAGTATGTCTTTCTGTTTTTCCCAAACGGGTTGCTTGCAACCATGGGATTCTTGCAGTAGGTGTAAGGGAGACTGGATTCGTCACCAGTTTATTTGCGTTGTCGTGTCTGCAAAAAGACGTAAAAAGTTGTCCTCATGGCCGTATACTATATGTTCAGTGTGTAATTGTCCATTTGGTAATATACTGCGTATGGTGTATATAATATGGAAATATATACTGTAATATACAGTGTAATATGGTAATTGTTCCTTGGTGGTCCTAGGTCGTGGCTGTTTCACGATTGTGCTCCGGTTGCGGTTTACGTGTTCGGATTCGGTGGTGAATGAAAACAAGAACGCGGCGCCGATTCGTTTGGCGACGAAACCAAACGACGAGAACGACTGAAGTCTGTGCGTGTTCCACGATGTTCCACGGATATCGAATGACAAGTCGTTTCGATTGGGTCGTGGGAGCGTTTCGAATCCGATTCACTCGGGAAAACACCACCTACTTTGTCTTTCTTTGAAGGTCTGGCTTATGCATAGTCTGCTCTGAGCAAATGGCATTCAACGTTGCTGTGCCTTGGGTGCAGGCGCTGATGGCGCTATTGAAGGTGATGACGTTGGCTTCAATCTCAGCCTGAGCTGTTCAAGTCAATGAAAGATATGAAAGGACTTTTTGATCAGTTCTTTGGTGGAACCTAAACCAGGTCCAAACGGTTCAGCTCATGTTGGCACGTCCGTTCAGCGGTTCAGCTCTTGGTGTTTTTTCATCCAGCGGTTCGGCCTCACCCATCATCACCAGCAACTGCAAGGCCATCTGCCATTGTCCAGCCTGCACTCACCAGAGGAGAGATTCTCACCACAGGAGAGCATTCTTGATCTTGTGTTTGGACACAGCACCCAATGGTACTCGAGAGTTTCCGAGGCACATGTTGGTTCAGCCCTCACAAGGATGTTGGGACTACAGGATCTTCTCGACACCCTAATTATACATTTAGAACAGGTATATGTATACGTCCTCAAGGCCTCAAGGTTTAAAAAGACATGCCAACACTTTGGGGAATCTTCCAGTTCTCTGCGAAACGCTTCAGCATGAACACACACTCAAAGATTCCAAAAAACTACAGTATTTTTTTATTTGTAATCTGACTTCCCGTTGATGATCCGTTTACCGCTCCAATCAATGAGCACGGTGAGTAGCAAGAACATGACTTGGAGATACTTGAAGACGGAGGAACCTGAAGCCTGAGCGCGACATCTCTTCAAACATCTTCAAACTCAACCCAAATTCATTGATGATGTCTTCATCTGTCTTCTGTCTTCTGTTATAACAACCAAGGGTCTGCAATCATCATGAAAGGATTGCATTTCAGCCCGTAAATAGCTGCAGTCACTTGTATATAGCACACTAAGTCATTTGCCCAGACCTGAACCTAAGAACAGAACGAAACAGGATCCTACAAACAAAGGCGAAAGAAGCTCAGAAATATGGTATGTGTGTATATATATAATATATATATATATACAAATGCACATCCAAACTGACAATACCTCCCAGCAGAGAGAAACAAACCTGAAGCAGTACATGCCCAAACTATAAAACAAAAAGATGACGAATAGTGACAAGTGAGTAAGAAACAACGCGGCTATCAGCCACCCCTAGTAGCTGTTCCAAAGTTGGTTGGGGCAAAAACTTGATGCCATTGTTACTAGTAGCTTCTTGTTCCTAGTAGTAATGCCAGGAGCTACGTTCGTAGCGTCCTTGTTACTAGCAGCTAGGTCTTCAGCCTTCAGACCGATTTCGCACCGCGCCTTTTCACAAGTGCCGATGGCAGCACCGAAGCTGGCCACTGTCTGAGGGAGGTCGAGCGGTCGATCCGCGGTCGGACAGGGGAACCCTCTATCCGAGCGATCGGCAAAACATCAATTGGATTAGCTAAAGTTATCGTTTTGGGCGGTTCACTATATCGTTTTCCAATCTGGGTAGGACACCGGCCCCAGGCGAAAAATATTAGCAAGTTCATGGGCTTGGGAGATTCATTAGGGGCAACCTGATATATATATATATACATATCTATATATGTGTCAATACATCATTATATATATATATATACGCAAAGTTGGCAGCGGTCGCTGGCGGCAGGGCAGCCGCTGCGCCATGTACCTGCCCAGTGGGCAACATGCAAAGACTGATGCTGCATGCGTGTGTGACAAAAAATGCTGACTCCATCAGCATCTATCTCTTTCTGACTCTCTCTGTTCTTTTCTCTCTCTCTCTCTCTCCCTCTCTGCTTGCTCGCGGTCTTTGTCTTCTGTCTCCCTCTTTCTCTGCCTCTGTTTCTTTCTGTCTTTCCTTCCCTCTTTCTTTCTTTTCTTTTCTTTTCATGTTCTTTCCTTTCTTTCTTTCCTTCCTCTTGTTCTTTCGTTCATTCTGTTTTCTTAGGTACTTTTCTGTTTCTTTACCCTTTCTTGCCTTCTGTCCTTTCTTTCTTTTCCTTGCTTTCTTTCCAAACCAAACATGCCTTGTCTTTTCTGACCTTTTCCTTGCTTTCTGTCATCTTCTGTCCCTCTCTCTCTCTGTCTCTCTCTCTCTGAGAAACGCTCGGTGATCGCGCTGTCACGTGGTTTTCCCCACGGGTCGAAGCCCATCTCAGAGACGCAGTTTCGCGTGCTCTACCCCACTCCCGCCATCTCGCTCTAAGCTTCGGATCTTCTTAAAAAGATCCCACAAAATGGTGCGAGGACGCCCATCTGCAGCCTGCAAGCTGATCGCCTTCACAGCTTTGGGCCTGCCTCGCGAACGCTTCTTCGGCGCCGCCTTGGGAACAACAAGCTTCTCTGCCCCCCACGTGTAGCTGCCATTGCCCCTTAGCAAGTTGCACCAACGCAGTGAAAAAGTCTTTCACCATTTCGCACTCATCAAGATCGGCTGTCTGGGCCTTCAAGGTCAAACGATCATCCAAAGTTCTTCGGTGGGGCTGCACCCCTTCAAGGCGCCCAGTCTCCACGAAGGCGCACCAGTCTGCCCTGCTAATGACTGGGAGTCCACAAGCAGCGATCGTGCATGCAAGCCTGCAGAATTTTGACCTGAATCAGAGAAGCTGCAGGGGCCGGCAAAAACTTTCAAATGATCTTCCGCGACGTGTGTCTATCTTACAATCATGCAGCTTTCTCCGGCCGCCAGGGCAGAGAGTGCACAACCTAACAGGAAATTACCTTTACTTGTATATGGCCCCCTCTCTCCTATGGAACCACAACGACAAAGAAGTGGGTGGTGGGCTGGAGCTCAAGAATGCAAACACGCCAGCCGCTGTGGCACAAGCCGAGGAAGCCACTGTTACACAACCAAGGAATGGCATGCCACATGACGAGGTCAAGGCACATGACCAAAATGCAAAATCTCCAACATAATTTGCGTGTTCAGAATCAGCCGTCAGTTCTCAATACATGGCCGCGCCAAAACTGTGCTGGAGTCAAATGGACATGCAATGACAAAGACGAACCAAAAGCTGAGATCCTGGCTCACCTGCATGCTCGGAAGCCAAGACATGAACCGAATCCAGGACAACTAAATGGGCTTGGAGGCTGAAGGCGAAAAATCCACTCTCGTCCAACCGACGGACACGCAAGTCTCTGTCATCGCCCAGAACTGCACTTGATGAAGGAATGCTGGTTGCGCAAGCATCAACAATCTTCCATCGTTTCCTCTGCAAGAGCTGCTCGGTGATCGGAATGAACACGCGAGGCCGACGAGTGAAGACACTTCCACGCGCCAAGGTCGGAGAACCAAACGGGTTGCCTTGCGGATTGTCAACCCGCCTCTTGTTCACCTCCAAATTGTTCTTGCGGATGGCTAGCGTTCTCAGCTGAAACCTCTTGAGGCCCTTCGAAGTCATGGGCCCCGGCCGAAGGAGTTTTCGGGCCTGGCCGCGGTCCAAGTGTGGAAGGATTGTCGCTTGCTCAGGCTTAGAACTCTCTGCGGCCGTGTCTCCGAGGTGCCTCAACGCTTGCAGCTGTCGTCTCGGCTTTGCTGCCGCAGCAAGCATTTGGGCTTCTCAGGCCCGAGTCTTTTCGTGTAGCACCGAAAGCGTGCACCATGCCTGCCCCGCCATTCCACCAGAAATTCACGAGACAGGTCAGTTAAGTGGAGCACGGACTCAGCAGACTGCTGTGCGATCTCTGAAGGTGAGGCAGGGCCATCAAGCTTCAGCATCAAAAGGTCCGAATAGGTGGCACCGGTTTCCTCCAGTGGGCCTGCGTGGTTCGATAAGATTTTCTTCCCAATCGCATGCCCTCGCTCAACGTTTCCAGTGCCGTCCTCGACGCTGAGGTAGAAGGAGATGAGTGAATGCCACAACTTGCTGCCTCGACAACTGAGCCTTTCCTGCGCCCATGCATTGCGATTGTCCTCATGCTAGGTGGACACCAATCTGTGCAGAGAGCTCACGAACTCTCGCCTGGCTGCAAGCGAGTCTTAAACTTCAGAAGCTGCATCACCTGCTTCTCCGTTGTGGCAAGGTCTGTCATGGAGGGAAGCAGCTTTCCAGTGAAGACGACGGAAACTCAGCTTGCAATCGGCTAATCATCAACGTCGTGACTGTGGCAATCCCTTGCAAGGCCTGTGCGTAATCCCGCTGCGAGGAAGAAGGATCCCACAAGTGGTGCACTCTGTCCTCCAGGCACTGAGGGAGTTGATTGCAATCAAAGGTCAAAGGACTCAAAGGAAAGCCAGCCATGCCAGCTGTTACGTTTTATTGCTGGTTGAAAGGGCACACCGGAAGGCCTTCTGAACAGCCGCCCACTACTATATAGAAGCTGAGATACACACTTGGGAAAAAAGGTGCATGTTTTTCGAAGGCTCTCTCCGGGCGTCCAAATGTTCTCTAATTGAACTTCGGCAACGAGGCTTTCTGGACTCAAAACCATAAGTTCTAGAGATGCTGTGCTGGGACAAGAATGATTGTGGAGGCTCAGCATGGGTCGGGAAATTGCTGCGCTGGCGGATTGTTCAAAAATCATGCCCTCCCACCTTTCAATCCCTACGTTAACCCTTGCAACTCTTCCCGTCTTAGATACTTGGCAATGACAACTTCGTATGGGTTGGATACTGGGTTGAGTCACTTTGCAAAGGACATAATCACGCCAGTCCTTGTAATAGATTGGTCCTGCTTGCATGGCTTCTTTCACAACAAAGTGCGTCATGGTCTCTGCCTCTGTATTTGCGCCATCCAAGTCCAGAATTCGGCCGTCAAGAAACAGCTGCTTCAGCCTTGCAGGACGGGTTGCAAAGCTGCGGACCATGGACCGAACATTTCATTGTAAGCCCTAAGCCGTGGTTTGCAAAGGGAACGCAATCTATGTATACATACATACGACAAAGAGGCGACCAGGTGACCGCTCCTGGTGCAAAAGCGATGCACTTGTTGCTTTGCCAAAGCAGGGTCATGCCACCCCTCATCAAAGTGCCAAAGGAAAATGGCAACCTCTGTCGACAGGTCCGTATACAAGCCTAAAGTCACGCTGAACTGCGTGCTCAATGCCCGCAAAGATGCTTCGGACGAGTCCCTAACTTTCACGCTCAGGCGATCATCAGCTGCTTGAGCAGCAAGAAGGAGAGCTATGGGGACTAGCATCTGGCACATTTTCCTGCAGAGTAAATCCGAAGAAGAAACATAGACATTAGAATTGAAACAATTGAATCTGCCAATAGCCCTACAAAAGGGCGTGCATTGAAAGTCAATAACCACGCAGCAGTATAGTCAAATTTGAAGTGCGAAACCTGTCCTGCTGGGGTCGCTCTCTGAATCAATTCTAATAGGAGACCAGCTCATGCTTCGGAACACTTTCTCGTTCGGGGAAACAGATGCTTGGATTGCACGGAGACGCGACTTCCACTCGCAGCTATTCTTCAAATCTGGGACTATGCCATGGCGTCCGAAAAGGCGAGAACGCATCTGCGATATGCACGCTTCTTCCGAACATGGCCGTTCCAGCGCTATCCTGCTTGCCAAAAACACGTTCGCCAGTAGCAGCCATCTTGCAACAGGTCTGGACTGGGGGGGGAGGTGGAGGAGGGATTCCGGTTGGTTCAGCTCTATCTTCCACCTCCAAGCATCGTAGAAGTAGATTTTGTGTAGTGATTCAAAGTGATACTCCTTGGCTTTGTTGGCAGCATCGTCAGCTTGCCCTGGAGTGTAGCGGCTGTTACTGCCAGCACAGAACCTGTCACCCCCTTTGCGAGCTGCATGCAGGAGCCGAGATTCCGAGAGCAAGCGCAGTGGTCTTCCTTGAACGCCACATCTTTGAGCCCCAGGCTATCGAGCATAGCATGTCAACTCAACCCACAAGCAACTTGTCCTCCGGGGACCCATTGTTGGCTATACTCACTTGACACACTGGTGTCTCTCAAGTGCATTGCAAGTGCATTGCAAGTACACAATTTGTCCTCGCCTCCAACCAATGGATGAAGATCTGGACTTGCCTCCTGTCTCTGTTCGAGATAGTTTCGATATCTTCGAAATCTATTGAAAGTGCCAAGAACCAAGCACAAACTAAGCAAGTCCGAATCAGCCTGTTGATGGACAAGATGTACTGAGAGTGGAGCTGAATTCATTGCCCCTGTCTCACCTTTTCTCATACGGCTACCATGGCCACACGAGTTGCGCAACAGGTTGCTTCCCCCCCTCTTTTGTTTTGCGTTTTGGGGTTGTTGGGTGCTGGTTTGCTTTGGCTGGTTTGCAACCTGTATAGTAACTCCCACTTAACTCGACCAAGGTGACTTGTGTAGAACCTGCACACATAGCGCCTCGACTCGTGCAAGTCTGTACACGCGAGGTTGACTCCGACCAATTGCT